ACCCAAACCTGCCCTTTCTGGGTGGGTTTGGGTGGCAATCCTGAAGGTGGGGGGAAATGTTCACATTCCGAGGAAGAGGCTTTCTTGTGAATTCATTTTGCCATGGAAATAAAACGTACGGGAGAAACTATTTTTAGAGAGAATGGGGGGGGGATGGAGAAGAACGGGGGCAGCACTGGGATGTTTACGAAGTTGTCCAGACACAAGAAAAATAACAGTAACGTTGGGGAATGAAGACAGATCCAGGTGGTCAGCCGTGTTGGTATGAAGCAGTAGAACAGATTTAGAGTCCAATTGGCACCTTTAAGACCGACAAAGTTTCATTCAAGGTATGAGGTTTCGAAGGAACGAATACCTGAGATCTGGGAATGGATAAGGAAGCTGCTTTTAATGGCAGAAACTGACAAATTGGCAGGAAAACCTAATAATAAAGAAGATGAAGAATTATTTGCAGATCGGATGGACTTTAAAGAATATTTAGAGAAACACTGGGATGTTAAGAACAATTTATTTTGCTTTGATAATTATTAAGAATAGATCGAGAAAATAGACAAATAGAAGATGATTGTAGTTAAAGAAATTGTTACCTATAAAGTTGAATATAAGATTAAGGTAGTTAAAGAGAAGGATACCTATTAAGTTTTGTTTTTGAAGGAATGGATAAGAAAAAGAGATTTGGTGGGGGTGGGAGCACTGCGGGAAGCCTGAGGAAGGGGAGGGAGGGTGAAAGGGAAAAAAGGGTATATTGTGAATGATGAAGTGTTATAATATTAGACATGCTGTTATATCCTGATAATAAAATGTTGTTGTTGTTGTTGTTTTTAAAAAGGTATGAGGTTTCGTGTGCAGGCACACCGTTTCAGATACCATTTGAAACATATTTGAAAGTATATTTGAAATAAATTGAAAATAAATTTGAAAAATATTTGAAAAAGTGTGCCTGCACACGAAAGCTCATACCTGGAATAAAACTCGGTTGGTCTTAAAAGGTGCCAACTGGACTCTAAATTTGTTCTATTGGGGAATGAAAGTGGAATGTTAAGGAATCTGGAAAGTGCCAGGGAGACTGGAAAGACCCCCGGAAGTAAGCAAGCGCAAAGGTGCGACCCTCGGGAGTAGGAAACAACACTGCGAGACAGAGTGAGCCAAGGGGCTTGATTTGCTCCTGTCCTAATCCAGAGCCTGGGCAATCATTTTCCAGGAATCCAAAAGACATAATTACAGTGCCATCCTAAACCCCTTTCTCAATCCATTGAACTTAATTAGAAGGGTGTCATGCTGTTTAGGACGGTACAAGAGGGGGACTCGCGATACTCGCGGGGGGGGGAGATGAGCTTCGTCTCCTCCACCCCCCCGCTTGATCTCCCCGAGTCGGCGGTGGCGGCAGCGAGGCCGGTCCTCCCCCCCCTCGCCTTCCCCCCCGCCCGCCTGCCCGGCTCCGAGGAGGAGGCGGCGGCGCAGCGGCGGCGAGGCCAGCTACAGAGCGTTCCCTGCGCATTTTCCCCCAACTTTTTGGATTTTTGTGCACACGTGGGGACCGCCCACGTGTGCACAAACCTCCCCCTCCCCCCCAAGTGCCCCCGGAGCGCGGATTTAGTGATCTGCACTCACGGGGGCAACTTCACTATTAGTATATAGATTGTTAATTTGGGGTTTTTTTTTACTAATAGTCAAGTGTACTAGGATGGGTCTACTCATTATTTCTGAATTAGAAGAAGAAGAGAAGAAGAGATTGGATTTATACCCCGCCCTTCACTACCCAAAGGTGTCTCAGAGCGGTTTACAAACTCCTTTCCCTTCCCCTCCCCACAACAGACCCCCTGTGAGGTAGGTGGGGCTGAAAGAGCTCTGACAGAAACTGCTCTTTTTTCAAGAACAGCTCTTATCAGAACTACGGCTTGCCCAAGGTCATCCAGCCAGGTGCAAGTGGAGGAGTGGGGAATCAAACCCAGTTCTCCCAGATTAGAGTCTGCGCACTTAACCACGACACCAAACTGGCTCTCAGATGGATCTCTGGCAGGGTGTCAAGCTCTCACTTTCGTTTCCTTAAACTCTGCTTTCCCTTCCCTTCGCTTCTCATGTCAAATTCTGTGGGGGGGGGGGTGTTGTGTGAATGCATGGGGGTAGTCGCCATATACATTCCTTAAATTGTGCCCCGAGAGTTGGTTCTCATGAGATCAACCTTGGAGACTCTTTGTGCTTAGCCTGGGTTAGATAGGGCACCATATATCTGTCTGTGTTGCCCCAGAAACGCTAGGGGGTAGGGGTGATGTGCGAGAGTGTAGAATTTTATGCTTTTACCTATAACCTGTAAGTTCCCGCAGTTTTCTCCAGTCATAACAAAAGTTCTTGTACTTACAGCAGCATATCTCTAATAAAGCATTACACTGCAAATAGTGTGTGTGGAGAGTGACTTAGCCAGGGACCTGACACAGGGTTCCTCAATGTGGTGCTTGTGGGCACAGCGGCACCCACTAGTACTTCCCCTGGCCCCCACTGAGCTTTTCAGGAAGTGGGCGGGGCAATTAGAAGGCAGAACATGTTGCTGGTGCCCCCATTCCAATGAAAGGGTTTTCCAGAGATGCAATAGCAGCTACAGCCACTGAAGGATCAAGAGGACTGGAAAATAGCCAGGCCTGTGGTTCATTTTCCCCTTTAGTCTTTCCTTCTATTTATTCCTGCTTCTCTTTCTCCCGTTGTCCCCCAGCCTTTCCTTTGTTACTTCTTGGTGTAGTGTAGTGCAGTTTGGTGTAGTGGTTAGGAGCATGGACTGTAATCTGGGAGAACCGGGTTTGATTCCCCACTCCTCCACTTGTAGCTGCTGGATGACCTTGGGCAAGCCATAGTTCTGTCAGAGCTGTTCTCTCAAGGACAATTCTGGAAAGAGCTCTCTCAGCCCCACCTACCTCACAGGGTGTCTGTTGTGGGGAGGGGAAGGGAAAGGAGTTTGTAAGCTGCTCTGAGATGCCGAGTGAAGGGCAGGGTATAAATCCAATCTCCTCCTCCCCCTTCTGCTATTATTTTGGAAAGTAAGGAGGGAAGTATTTTCTTGGAGGGGATTGGTATTTGTGTGTTTGTGTGTGTGTGCACCTGGAAGTCATGGCGACCTCTGGTAACTGATTCCTACTGGGGGCCTGGAGGATATTGAGGTTGGTGAATAAAGCCTGCCCCGGTCCTCCCGACTTGGTATTCCAAGGAAGTCTCCCATCCAAGTACTAACCACAGTTGACCCTGCTTAGCTTCCTGTGGTGCTGCTCCTTTGGGTGTGGGGGTGCAGGCGATGCAAAAGACGACAGGACACAAGTCTGCAGGAAGCTGATCTGAAACCTCTCGGCTTCCCAGCATTTATTTTATACACCTTTCTTCCCCCTTCTCCCTCCCTCTCCCTCCGTAAGGGAGTTACAAACATTCGAGCATCCTTTTGGAGAGTGTGTGTGTGTGTTTCCAGGCAGCTGTCCGCTATCTGCCTCTCCCCCTTTCTCAAGGCTAACTGACTGCGTAGTTTAGACAGTCACCAGACTTCTCTTAGCACACAAATACTTTCGGGTTACCAATCTCCAGGCAGGAGATTGCACTGCTTTCCCACAGCTTCCGAGATCTGACAAGGTCGGGCTTGCCTGGGCTATCCAGGTCAGAGCAAGGAGGGAAGTATTTTGTTTGGCTCTGCCTCCACAGGCATTTTGAGGTGGAACTCACCACCCCTTCTCAAAATCCCAAATGCACCCACGGGTTCAAAAAGGTTGGGGAGGGAGGTGTCTGTGGTATGCCAATGACTGGCATAATCACTATGCTGAAAGTAGCCAAAGGCATCCAATAAGCTGCCAGGACACTGCCCCTGTACGGTAGGATTTGTGGAGGGAGGCATTGCGGCCCTACCTGGTCTGTGAGGCACATTCAAAGGCCATTAGTGTGTAAATGAAGACCCATCTTAGCACTTCTTTTAAAAAATGAAAAGGTGCAATAAGGTGAAGACTTTTGCCAGCTTCTCCAATTCACCTTAAAAACAATCTTTTAAAACCAAAATGACATAGTGTGGGAAGGCTGATTCTATAGATGGAGCATGAACTTAAGGAGATGGAGGGGACAAAAATTCCCTTCCCCAGACGATAAGTACCGAGATATCAATGGCTGATCGCAGGGACTGCTTCTCCCCCTGAAAGCCAGCAAAAACCATGCCGCTTTTCTCTTCCTTAATCGGTGACCACTTTGTTTAAAAAGCATGAAATTACCACTTTGCTTCTCCAAAGTACTGGTTACTGGGGAGAAGACGATTATTATATCAGAAGCGATGGGACTCAACAAGGCCAGAAACTCCTGCAAGAAATAATCAAGGAGAAATCACATGGGTTTCTTAGGCGTTTGTCAAGTCTGGGCGACTCTTAAAGAGCTATCAGCCAGCTCCCCCAGTTCTTTCTCTAAAAAGGTGGGGTAAATCCACACATTACATTTTTAGGACTATACCTGGCAAGGTAATATGTTTAAGAACAAGGATTGGCTGTCCTTCCAGGCAAGGGTTCACACACAGTTGGGGACCATACAACATGCAATGGCCTCTCAAGTTCGTCATATTGGACCAGGTCCATACACAGGTCCACATTTGTTACTTCCTATCATTTCATTACCGACCACTGAATGAATAAACAGGCTCACCATGGTGGCAGCTCTTTTTCCTTCTGCCAGAATGCCACAGGTGGGAATTCAGCAGATGGATGGCACTGAAGCAGTACAGCCCTGCTACTGGTACTTGTCACATCGGGCGGCTGATCATGCACAGCAGCCCTAATAGATTCGTTATTAAAAGAGAAACATCCATGTGTGAACAAACTCCATTGTAACTTTAGGGGACTTCTGGGGGGGGGGGAACCATATTGCACATGCATGAAACTGCCTTACTTTGAATTAGATCCTTGGTCCATCAAGCTCAGTACCGCTTACTCAGACTGGCAGCAGCTCTCCAGGGTCTCAGGAAGAGGTCTTTCACATCACCTGACCCTTTTAGCTGGAGATGCCAGGGATTGAACCTGGGACCTTCCATGTGCGAAGCAGATGCTCTGCCACTGAGCTACAGCTCCTCCCTGCTTGGATTTCCTTTCTACTGGATGCATGGAGGGGTTGGGCCCATCTTTCTGTTCCTTCCCATTTTGATGCAACCCTTCAGGTATGTAAGGCTCTTCAGACATATCACCCTGGCTAGTTCACTGAAGTGGCAAGAGATTATGAATCCTATTCCACACTCTACACATGTGCAAAAGCACAAGAAGATGTTCCAGTTGTCCCACCTCCATATACAAACACACCTCCACATACAAACATGACTTACCAAAGTGCACCTTGTCTAAAACAACCCAGAGGATTTAATTTATACCCCAAGAATCCATGAGGGCTAGAAACTTATTCAGAGCAAAATTAAAGGACCCAGGTAGCCGACTGATTCTGCAGTGTGTAGAGTGTCCAGGGTTAGGCAGCTAGCTTTCATTCCATGCCCACCGATATTGGCATATGGGCCACTTCTCTCTCTCTCTCTCTCTCTCTCTCTCTCTCTCTCTCTCTCTCTCTCTCTCTCTCTTTCGCTCCCTTCTCTCTCTCTCTCTCTCTCTCTCTCTCTCATTAGCTCCCCATCCTATCCTTCCAACTCCTCCAATCCTTTTTTCTCTCCCAGTGGCTCTGAATTCTTTGGCCTTCCTGCATTATGCATGGGGTTGGACTAGATGACCCTTGAGGTCCCTTCCAGCTGTATGTTTCTATGCAGTGACTAAATGCTTTTCTTCTTGTGCCACACAAACCGCTCCCTGCAATTTATACGAGGGACCACGGCATTGTTGCTCCTGCCATACCATAACTCTGCGAAGCTGTCTGCAGATTGCTGGCTGTATGGAGGACGGTATACAAAACAGACTTGTAGCGTATTGATTGTGCTGTTAGCAAAGCGCTCTCCTGTGCAATAT